TGGTCATTGTGTAGGATTGGGAGGGAGTCGTACCCCAGGAGTGCATGCAAAGTATGTTCTCACCCTCTCCTACGTGGCTTTTTATATTTTTTTGTTCACTCCAAACATGTATTGATAAGCTCGGAATGGCTGCTGATAAAATGTTCCAGACAGGGTTGGGTAGTTTATAATTTATAAACATGTTGCTGATCATTGTGCATGATTGGGGGGATGTTGTACCCCAGGAGTGCATGCTAAGTGTGTTCTCACCCTCCTATACGAGGCTTTTTATATATATATATATATAATATTTTTTGTCATATTTTGCGCCGTGTCAAGATGTATCAACGATCGAAACGTCATTCGATATCTCGACATCTCGGATAGAAAAAGTTGCAGACAAGGGCCGCATGCCAAGTATTTTACAGCCCTCTTCAGGAACCCCAGCCTCCCCATTGCCTTTCCACATTTCTTCCACCCTTCATTCAAGAGGCATCCATAACCTCGAATTTCCCCTCGTGCCACGCACGTCCCAGACGGAAAATTTTTCCCCAGCTTCTCCGACTTCGAGGGGACCTAAAACAAATTTAGCCCTTAAAAGGTCCCCACGATAACGTTTATATCTTTTCCTCCAACTTACCTCCTAGGTCGGACTCGAAAGAAATTTCTTTGCGGAAGAAGTCTCTTCAATAAGGTGTATCTTTTTTCCTTCCCCCCCTTTTTTATTACTCTTCAATTTCTCAACACCCTTCGCATCGTCTCAAGAAGTTTCATCTGAAGGAACCGTGTATACTTCTTGCACCTCCACCATGGTTACGTGCACGAAACGTGCATTCCACAATTCTGGGTGTATTGGGGTGGTGCTTCACCTGGAGGAAGGAACGTCTTCACTATTTCCAGGTGAGAAAACCGGGACAAAACGTGAGGTTCTTCGCGATTCGGCCTCCCTGTCGAGGGAGGGAAATTGAAGAAGGCACCTCTAAAGAGTCGAGGGATCCATCTTAGGCTCGGGGCTATTTAATTAACGCGCCGGTTCTGCTAACTAAATGCGCGCGGCGAAGGCGGAATTGGAGAAGCGCTAATTATCGCGCTAAGGTGGGCGGCCAGGTGAGAGAGAGAGAGGAGGAAATAGCTTAAATGCCACGCGAGATTCGCCACTCGGCTCGAGGGACCTTTTTCTTGACTTCCGGCCTCCTACAGTTCGTCCTGGGACTTCGTTGCTGAATGGGGTGGCGTCATTCGTTCCCTGGAGTCATCCGGCTGGATTCACTTCCTTGAGTACCGTCATCGCGACATTGCAGGGATTTCTGGATCTTCATCCTCTTGGAAGGTTCTTCAGTTTTAGGTAGAAATGTTGGGTGGGTGGCATCACTCTGCAGCATCCCTTTTCCTGGCTGGGACTTTAACCCTTTGCGGTCGTATGTCTACTCTCAGCCACCAAAAATCTCTTGATCTTGGGAAAATGCGACCGCAATGGGGTTAATTTTAAATTTGAGAAAGCTACGCTTCGCCTCTTTTTCATTTGGGATGTCTTCCAACTTTGGATGGAGGTAGAAGGACTGTGGCACCTCCCAAAAATTTCGCTCTCTGTCCAGCGGGTCGTTTGCTGATCTACAGTGGGATTCGCTTATCATCATCACGTGGGGATTTTCTGGACTTTACGGGGTCCAGTGAAATCCTCCATTGAATTTAAGAGAATTCTGCAATTCTACATTTTTCCCAATCAAAAGATCCATCTCTCTATCATGAAGATGTCATGAACACACACGGTTCCTTTTTGTTGTGGTGCCCACATATCTCCACAAAATAAATGTACCATATTAACTTTACCGTCAGTTTAATTTCCCCCAAAAAATATAGCGTTCCTCCAGATCCTCCTAGTTCCTTTTAGCCAGTGGGGATCTACTTTTGCACCACCTCCCGAAAAATTCCCTTCCTCACCAGCCGGGCGTTAGCTAATCTACAATAGGATTTCCCATCATCATCACGCATGGATTTTCTGTCTTTCATGGGGTCCAGTGAAATCCTCCATTGAATTTAAGAGAATTCTCCAATCCTACGTTTTTCCCAATCAAAAGATCCATCTCTCTATCATGAAGATGTCATGAACACACCACTATCATGAACACACACGGTTCCTTTTTGTTGTGGTGCCCTAATATCTCCACAAAATAGATACACCATATTAACTTTACCGTCAGTTTAATTTTCCCCCAAAAATATAGCGTTCCTCCAGTTCCTCCAGAACCTCCTAGTTCCTTTTAGCCAGTGGGGATCTACTTTTGCACCACCTCCCGAAAAATTCCCTTCCTCGCCAGCCGGTCGTTAGCTAATCTACAGTGGGATTCACTTATCACGCGGGGCGTTTTCCCGGCTTTCAGGGCAGCCGGGGAGGGCCTCGTTTGAGTTTCAAAGAATCTCGAATTCTGGGCTTTTCACGAGTAGGAAGGTAGGTTAAGGGCCGGGCTGTATGCCCGCTCTGTATGCCCGACGGTAATGAGTACTATTCAGTTTATTCGGAGGTAAGTTGCGGCCCTAGCGAGTATGCCTTCAACGAGACGAGACGCGAGCGATCTACCTGGATAAAATGGGCAACATTCAATGCCCGACTTTTGCCCTTTTTCTTTCGCACTCCTGCTTCGCTTTCTTCCCCGCTTTTGCGTCTGCTGCATCTGCTGCATCAGCTGCACTCGCCAATCCAAAAGCGAGATCCCGAGCCAGCCTCGCTCTAGAATCGCAAGATCTGTAAATGGTACCAATCCCTCTTTTTACCCGAAACTGACGAAGCTGGCGGAACTCTGCAGCCATTTTCTCCCTCATCTTCAATCGAAGTCGAATTGTTTGTAACTTTGCCACATGGTTTAGGAGACCCTAAGGCAGGTCCTGAAACCCGCAGGATTTCATTTTTATTGAAAAATGAACAAAATAGCTATAAACAAATTATCTTAAAATTGAAATTTCGTGGGCGACAAGACCTTCCTTATAGTCTCTGTTTTTACATTGTAATTAAATGTACCAAATTGTTTGTAACTTTGCCACATGGTTAAGGAGACCCTAAGGCAGGTCCTGAAACTCGCGAGATTCCATTTGTAATAAAAAATTTTGAAAATAGCTATAAACAAATTATCTTAAAATTGAAATTTCGTGGACGACAGGACCTTCCTTATAGTCTCATTTTTCACATTGTAATTAAATGTACCAAATTGTTTGTAACTTTGCCACATGGTTAAGGAGACCCTAAGGTAGGTCCTGAAACTCGCGAGATTTTATTTTTAATGAAAAATTTTCAAAGTACTTATAAACAAATTATTTAAAAATTGAAATTTCGTAGGCGACAGGACCTTCCTTATAGCTCCTGTATTCACATTGTATGATATTTGAAACGGTACACCCAGTTTCGTAGGAAAGATTCATAAATTCGTCCCACGCCACTTTCATGTCGCCTTAACGTACGTATAGAATTTTGATAAAAAACAAAAAATCTCGTTTGATGCCGTCTAGAATTCCGGGCCGTGTCTTCTATCCAATTCCGTTCCTCGTTTCCATGTTTCCCGAGAGGGGGAAACGTTTTAATATGTAAATAGGACGTGAGCGAAGAAAAGAACTGTCAGAAGCCTGAAGCGCGGAAGGCAAGTTTGGTTATAAATGCGTTTGTTTAGTATTTCGTAAATGCAAGAGATGGCGCGCCGAGCTAGCGAAGAGTACCGAGAGCTCGTTTAATTTTTTTCCGATGTGTACTGACATTCGATTTAAAAAATGGAGAGCAATGCGCTGTTTCTTATTCTTTGTGCGTCCGAGATGGGGTATTGTTATTCCTCCCAGTTTGCGGATGTCTTTGCCATTCAATTAATCGTAATGACACGTGATTCGTCATGCAACAGCCTTAATGCATTCCCAACGTATGACGTGAAGTATACAGAACTTCATCGAGAATCTTTGTTGTCTCGGCTTAATGACGGACGCATCATTTGCATACTCGTTAGTGTTTCTGCATAAGTGTGTTTCCGTATTCACATCGGCTGCCCTGATTTTTTTTTTGGGTGTGCAGGAGTCTGAAGAACCGCAGTGAAATTTGATCTTTGTTTTTTTGAGGTTACAGAGTGTGGCGTTGTTTTTCAGGCTTAAAAATGAATTCCTATATGAACAGTATTTCCCATTTTGAGGTTAGGATATCGTGCTAGGACCAGGAAGCAGAGGGTGGCGTTGCTTTGGAGGTTTAACCCTTTGCAGACGGGACTTTTCCATTATAAGGGCCTTTGGGCGGCTATTTGGCGACATTCATCCGCGAAGGATTAAAAATGAATTCCTATATGAACAGTACTTCCCATCTTGAGGTTAGGATATCGCGCGAGGACGCGAAAGCAGAGGGTGGTGTCCATTCCCACGGAAAACTGGGAAGAAAGTTGGAAAGGAGTCGACCAGGACGTTCAGGGGTTGTTTTCCCCGGAAGTCGGTCAAGGCTCCGTACAAGCTCGCATCCGCTATTCAGATCCGAGTTAAAAGCTTCCTCGGAAGTTCGCCGGGTATCTAGACGAGCCTAGAAGGGTCCGGAGGAGACCGTGTGCCAAGAGATGGAAGTTGAATGGCAAACTTCTTATCGGTGTATTCCGGGAGTACATCCACGGTAACTTGGCAGTCGCTTATACTTCGGCCGCCTTCTCCAGGACGGTAACATTGTTCTACAGGCGCATTAGTGGCCCCGATGTGCACCAGGAGGAGGAACCTTCGTGCCACGTACTTCGCCCAAGTTTCGGGCCCCAGACTTTTGCTCTCGCGACAGACGCAAGAAGCCCACCTTCGTCGGGTAATTAGACCTGCAAAACGGCTGCCGGAGTTGTAACTCTCCAGGGCGGTGGCACTTTTTCCGCAAACAGATTTCCACGTCGGTTACAGGCCAATCTTGCTCTTCCGAGCGGCGCTTCTTTGTCGATTCGAGCTGTTAGGTTGACCAAATGTTCATGTAATGTTGCTTAGCGGATGATGTACGATGTATCTTGATAGCTCATCATTCCCTGTTCCAGTTGGGATGCCGTCCATGGAACCTGAGCCTGATCAGCATGATCGTCCTGGCCTTCTCCAACATGTTGCTGACCTTCCTCTTGCTGCAGTCCGAGAACTGTCGGTCATCAAGTTCCGGAGACTACGTCCAGGAAACTAACGGCGTGACGGAGTGGGACCTGGGCTCGAAAAGTGAGACCCGCCAGGACGAGGAGGTCCAGGTCTCCCAGCAGTGTTCCACCCACGAGTTCGTAGAAGACGGGGACATCCTCAGGATGGACCCGAAGCTGGGGAGATGGGATGCTCGCCGGATCTACAAGACCTTCGACGGGGTCCTGACAGGGTCCCTATTCCCCAGACTGTCCGAGACCCACAAGGTCTGCTTGGCGACCCAGAGCTCCGTGGAGAGGCTGCACTCCATAGTCCAGGTCGCTCATCACTGGACAGGTCCCATATCTCTGGCCCTATATGCAGCTGGTGACGACGAATTCGAGGTGCTACAGAGGTACCTGGCCTACCTCAGGAAATGCTACGCTCCTATCAGGGAGAGGATCTTCGTCTCGTTGGTGCTTCCCAAAGCTCGGCTCCCCAGGAGGCAGCCCAGGAGCTTCGACATCCCCGACTCCGAATTGGACTGCGCCAGTCCGGAGTACATCCTGAAGGGTCTGCTGAAGAGGATACCCAGTCAGCACAACGTTTGGAGGGCGCAGAACGTGTATCCTCAGAATCATCTCCGGAACCTAGCCAGGAAGAACTGCCAGACTGATTATGTATTCCTCACGGATGTCGACGTCATCCCTAGCTATAACTTGACCAGGACCCTGGACAGCTTCCTGAGGTCCTCGGACACCTGCGATAAGTGTGCCTATGTCATCCCGACCTACGAGCTCGACACCAGGATCAGGTTCCCCCAGAACAAGTCGGAGTTGGTCAGGCTGGCCAAGAAGGGACTGGCTAGACCTTTCCACGAGAAGGTCTTCATCCATAATCAGTTCGCCACCAACTTTTCCAAGTAAGGGCCTAAACTTGAAGAATGATGCGTTGGGTCTTTCCTGATGACCCATCTGACTCATCGCAGTGATTCTGCTTTTCTCGATTACAAAATCGGAGATGCTGGATGGGTTCCTATTTGTGTCGAGTAAAAAGGGAATTTCAATGGTCACTTGCACGCTATCATCAATGGCCCGCGTTTTATCGGCTGCTTTGGACCTCTTCTAGGTGGATCCTCGACGTCTCTCCGGGTTTCTTCGGCAACAAGGATCACCTGAAAACCGGGAAGGTCTACGTGAGTCACGACGTGACCAACTTTGAGCTATTCTACGAGCCCTTTTACGTCGCTAAGGACACCGTCCCTTCCCACGACGAAAGGTTCATGGGGTACGGCTACACCAGGAACACCCAGGTGAGTCGCAACATGTTTCCTGATTACGCGCAAGGAAAAGAAAAGCGAGCTTTCGGGTCTTAAGGTGGTACGAAAGGAGTCAGCCCATACATATCTGAGATATCAAATCCTTGGTAAAGTATTCCCCATATTGGGGTACCGATTCGTTTGAAGCTTCACCACGTGAAAGTAGGTCCCGAAACTCATGGAATTTCATTTTCTTCATGAAAAATTTCTTTACTTTCATCCGCTCAGGAAATCTCGCAAAAGAGAACAGTCAGCTGGTCATTCAACGACGGTGCTTTGCGCGCGAAAATCCGGGAAAATATTGAAATTCGCGAATGTCGAGAGCTCGAAGCTTGTTTCAGAGTAGTCGTGATATTCTCTATGTACATGTCTACCAGCCTTGGTACCGAATGCCCGTCAATTTCGCGAATGTTGGCAGGCATGATGAGCGCGCTCCATCGTGTTGTGCGTTTTCCCATAAGCAATTCCTATCAGAGGATATCAGAGCAGATGCAATATGTGGCGGGAATTCAAAAAGGAAAGAGGGGCATACGGGGGGGGCATGCAAATTAACGAAGAGTGGAATGAGCATAAAGAATGTACAGCGAAGAGAAAGATATGAAAAAGGACCACGAGGCAGGATGGAAGTTGGTAATCAAAGTTTGCGTTCCATCGGTTGAATTATTTTGGATCGAAGCAGAAAGATGGAGATGGGATGCTGGGGTAATAACCAGACCTCTTTGATCAATTACCACATATCTGTATTGTAGATATCTCCCAGGGAACTTCGAAGCAATTAGAATGATCACTTGAATAAGTGGACTTGGTTGTTTCGAAGAGGGCTGCATCGAGCACTTATGTTGCTTCGATGAGGATTGTATCGAAGACTTATGTTGCTCCGAAGAGCAGCGAACACTTATAATGTTATAAAAAAAGATTGCGCAGAAGACCTGAATTGCTTGGAAGAGAGTTACATGAAACACTTATATTGCTTCGAAGAGGATTGTATCGAACACATATGTTGCTCCGAAGAACAGCGAACACATATGTTGCTCTGAAGAACAGCGAACACATATAATGTTACAAAAAATATTGTACAGAAGACCTGAATAGCTTGAAATCGAGTAACATGAAACATTTATGGTGCTTCGAAGAGAATGACATCGAACACTTATGTCGCTTCGAAGAGAATGCCTCCGAACACCTATTTAGGATATATTTCTCCAAATCTGGCGTATAATTTCCTGCAGATATTAAATGTTTCTCTTCCAAGCAGCCTGTAGGGCAATTTTTCGGACATAAATTAACTCTAAATAGTTCGGTTAAAGTAGGGAACAGTTCGGAAAAGCGTTAAACGGCCGAGAGATGCAGAGTTGAACGCCAGGTTCGATAAACCGTCGGCCGGTTTTGCATGCGAGGCGACATTAATTCAATTTCATATTATCGTTTCCACTTCGCGTTATGGAACTACGCAAGCTCATTCCGCAAAACAAGCATTATGCGATTTTAACTCGATACATCGCCCGGTAGTTTCGAGCTGGCGATTGCATTCTCACGTGTCAGCACTCGGCGGGCTCGGATGTTGAAGGCGGGAGGGAAAGAAAGGGGTTGGGAATTAATGGGGAGGAGAGACAAGGGGATGTATTAGACGATAGAGACGATACCTCTATATCGAACCGCGTTATCAATTATGCAGAATTTCGCAGCTGCGCAAGGAGAGATTTGAGCACCGAAATGTCACAATGCTCCCATTCGATTCGGCGCGTTAATTGGAATTAGTTGTTCCTCTCTAAAGACGGTAAAGTTTCCGAAATTAAGGCGAAGTGAAACTCCCTTCAAACCCAGTCGATTCGAATGCAACACTTTTTTTTAAGAGTATCAGACCAAACTGTCCGAAACTTTACTATTCCGTTTATAGATGATCGATTTGGGTGTTAACGCGATATGAAAGTGGCATCTATATTCCGGATTTGCAATTGAAAAATCCACAAAATTAAGGATAAATTCACATAGACGCGTTGTAGAAACACACATGGGTGGTTTTCAATTAGAGCGAATTGATCGAAAGAGACGGATTAAAGATCGCTATTCCTGACGTGTCGTTTCTTAAAATCGCGCAAAGGAGTAAGTTTCCATCCGGAATTTCGCAGTCGTTGGGGCGAGGGCAGGAAAACCCGGCAGTGCTTTCGAGGTTCGGTGGAAATAACGAAATTCCATCGCGGTGGAAATCCGCGCAGGCGACGTCTACCTCCCATCGTGTATTCGCGAAACGAGCTATGCCCTGCCGTCAGCAATAAAACGGGTGTAAATCTATGTGGAACGTACTCGCGGTGCCACACGAGTACGTGGAGGCACACACAAGGGAGACTGCGATACACCCACGTGTGTGAAATGTATCGACTCGGTACGCCCACGTGTGTGTATCGCTCTGCCACACCCACATGTACGTATCCTCCGGATACCCCCAAGTCCACATAAAGTTCCACACGTACATAAAGTTCCCCCTGCCCGCCTTAACACAAGAGTTCCGATGTTTCCGTTGTGTTTGATGGATTTTTGTCCGGTTAAAAAGTGGTTTTTCCGAATGCGCAAGGGTTCCTAAAGGAGGAACTGCCTGAAGATTGTACACCAGAGGCTCCGTGTGTGTGGAGAAGGCGTCCACGTCCGCTGTTGTACATCTACATGCACTTATGTGCCCCTCTGATACATTCATGTGTGTGTGTGCACCGTCTGGGTACAACCACGTTTACGGATTCTCGTGGTGTGTCCACATGCATCATCCTGGTGCGTCCTGGTGTTAGCACACATATCCTGGGGCTACCACACACATCCGGGCCCGACCATACACCTACCAGGGTGGCACCACCACACGAACTGCTCGTAGATCCTTTACCACACACGGTGGAGGTGCCAAAGTTACATCGGTGTTCACACCGGCCCTCTGCGGTTCGTTCGCACAACATTCACTCCCCGCGGAGGAGCGAGAACGAATATATCGCCCCTTTCTCTCCGTCGTTTCCCTTTACGGGCGGGACTTTCTTCCCTTTGCATACCCACAACTCGACCCTGGGGCTCTCCGTACGTCTCGTACCTTGCGCTTTTTTACGACTCGAAGACGACCGGCAGACGTGCGACCTACCTCACGTTGCATCCCCGAGGGTCCACGGAACTTCCCGAATTTCCCCCGATTTTATTACTCAACGTTTCTCTCCCGAATAACCAGATGGCACTTTATTTTAGAAGTCCCCAGTTGGGTGGATATCTCCTTTACGCGCGATGTTTATAAATTCCTGGGTCTCTCCCAGCGATGTCCACCAGAATGACTGATGCTGATGACGGGACCGATGGGCATGCTGTCTTCAGCACCACCACTTCATCTTCGAAGTGGTGGCTGGGACCCATTGAAGTATTAGGTTGAGGAGGAAGTTCCTAAAGATGAAGTGGGTGGCTGGACCCCATCGAAGTATCAGATTGAGAAGAAAGTTCCTAAAGATGAAGTTGGTGGCTGGTGTCTTCCATTTTTACAAGCTCCATCCAATTATCAACGCGTGATCGCCATCAAGCCCACAAGTCCTACCTCCACCTTAAGACCGGTAATTCAATCGACAGGGTTCACCTTCGCTATGCAATTATCAATATGCTAATGGAAATTTATCATGAAGCACACAGTTTCTCCCTCCACGTGAGAATCAATAGTTCAATCTCCAGAGTTCACCTCCACCCGGAAACATTTCCCCAGCACATTAGTCCTCTATTTTCGCAACCGCGGTATGTATAGGGACCCTGCAACTGCAACGGTAGGGACGGCTTTAATCCGGCGTTAATTCAGCGCAGCTGCACCTTGGATTCGTTGATCGGATCAACGGCGCCTTGAAGGCCGGATAACGGGCAACAATTTAAATTATCTCCGCGATAATGGAGGGCTTTCGCGTGCCCCTCGTAAAAGGGTCGACCGGGTTAACCATCCCGCTCCTGATCACTTGTGTGCACCTGCAGCTACAGGTGCACGTAGCCTGAGCCCCACGTGGTCGAGGGTCCAACACCAGCTTCGAGCTAAGTGGTCGTACGTGCGATTGCGGCTTAAGGTGTTGGTGCTGGTGTTGATGCTGGTCCTGGTGTTGGCCTTCCTGGTCCTGGTGTTGGTCCCGTTGGTGGGATCTGCACGTCCCTGCGTCCCTTTCCGCTGCACCTCTTTCGCGCCCCTTCGAGCTCCAGAGGGTGAGATAAGTGGCCGCACACCCGCTAGGGGAAGACACCTTATTCTCGGGGATTTACACCGACGTGCGATCGCATAAAACTCAATTATCAGATTTACCCGCCGTTCCTTCGGCCCGCCTCGCATTCCTGTCGGTTCCACCCCTTTTCCGAGTAACGGCGACAAAAATTATGCCAGCCCCTCCTTCCGCCATATTTCTTCGCCGCCCTTCTGATGTATGGAACGGGTAAATGATGTCGGCCACCCTTGCTCCATGATTACCTGGTGCGGTGAGTTGTCGTCCTCTGGAAACGGGCATTCCGTTTTACGATCGATTGCTCTGCCGTCTTTGGTTTCCTACTTAGAATTACTTTGCAATTATTTCCTACCTAGAAATGTTTGGAGGTGATCGCCTCCAAGGTTTGCTTTTCAACTATTCCCTTGAAATTTCTTTTTCCTATTGACATATCTTGCAGCGTCGAGGATCGCAATGAAGAAAACGACATGCCTCAACTTATTAGAATACCCATTATTGCATCAAACCAAGAACATTGTTGGGCATCAGCTCCTTGAAATCGCAAACCCACTCCATCGACGTTAAAGAGACATTACATGGCCCATCTTTGTTGTGTATGATCATTTTTAAAGATGCACGATGAACAATAAGACTGAGCATCACAATTAAGAAAACGACCAGCTCCAATTTCTTAGGAGAACCATTATTGCATCAAACCAAGAATATTGTTGGGCATCAGCTCCTCGAAATCGCAAACCCACTCCATCGACGACAAAGAGACATTACATGATCCATCTTTGTTGTGTATGATCATTTTTAAAGATGCACAGGCCACCCATCATTGCACCAAACCAAGAATATTGTTGGGCATCAGCTCCTCGAAATCGCAAACCCACTCCATCGACGACAAAGAGACATTACGAACATCACCCACGTGGCGCGCCGTTGTTACGTGGGATTATTCTCGAAGACGCACGGCGCGTGAACAATAAGACCCAGACTGTCTGTCTGTCTGTCTGACGGGTCGACTGTCTGTCCGTAGACCTCTCCCAGGAAACCGGAAACCGGAGCATTACCGGCCTGTCGCAATCCTGAGAAATCCAACGCCTGACGGGACCTCCAGGTCGTGGGTGTCGCCGCGTCTTCGTGGGTGGCTGGGTGGCCCCCGAAGTGGGTGGTGGGTGGGTGGGTGGGTGGCCCCCGAAGTGGGAGGGTGACACGCCTCGCGTTTATTACGCACTCGACAGGGCGAGAACTGTCCCGAGATCTCGATCAGCGGAAAGGAGGGGATCGCCTCGTAAAACTCGGGAATGGCCGCCATTTTCCTCGATTCCCTCTACATAGATTTATTTTTGATGGCCCGCGATATGGCGGATAGCGTTATGCCAGAGTACTCGACGAGGGGTTGCTACTCAAGGAAGACGAAACGAAGAAATGAATCCAGAGTGTCTTTCTGCTGTATATGTGCATTTGGCGCGAGACTCTGTCGAGATTTTTCATGCGGATGAATTTTAAATCAGCGCTTATTGGGCGATGATAATTCCCTTAAAAGTCGTCGAACGAGGAACCATCACCCAAGGAAGACGAAACGAAGAAATGAACCCAGAGTGCCTCCTTGCCGATGGGGTGCATATGTGCATTTGGCGCGAGACTCTACAGAGAGGTTTCATAGTTTGAATTTTAATTCCACGCTCATTGGGTGACGATGGCTCTCTTATGTCAGTCTCGTATTTCCTATTCTGAAAAATGAATTCCATCGGTAGAAATGTCCTGGGAATTTCGTTGTCGCGGATTGTGCTTCGATGATTAATCGTCTCCTATCTCTTCTTCTTGATTTTCATGGATCTACGAGACGTTATTTAGATTGGATTAATATTCTAAAAAATGAATTCCATCGGTAGAAATGTCCCAAGGTACCGGAAATCATGAAATTGGGCGAATTTCGTTATCGCGGATTGTGCTTCGGTGATTAATCGTCTCCTATCTCTTCTTCTTGATTTGCATGGATCTACGAGACGTTATTTAGATTGGATTGATATTCTGAAAAATGAGTTCCATCGGTAGAAATGTCCTGGGAGTTTCGTTATCGCGGATTGTGCTCCGATGATTAATCGTCTCCTCCTATCTCTTCTTCTTGATTTGCGTAGGTCTACGAGATGTTCGTCGCGGGGTATCAGTTCAAAGTCTTGTCTCCGGTTTTCACGGGACACTGGGGCCTCCAATCGAAAAGGGGTAGACCAGCTTGGCGAGAGAGGCAGAACAACTTCAACAGGAACCTCTTCGAGGCCTTCAAGAAGGAGGTCTTCGCGAGGTACATGAGGGACCCCTTAAAGCTGATAAAGACCCAAAAGTCTGATAGGAAGTCGCTGAAGGTCCACTAGGGTACTCCAAAATATTAGGGTGTCTGATGAGTTCCTTCCGGTCCATGTTCAATTCGTAAAAAATGAAAAGGAAGAAACATGTATTTATTGCGTAAAAACAAGAATAGGACGAAACATGTATTCATTTCATAGAAAAATAAAAGGAAGAAACTTGGAGACATGGAGAAAAGTTGATATGAATATTTTCACCTAGTGGCATGTGTACATTTAAAAAAAAAAAAAAAAAGAAAAGGAAGAAACATGTATTTATTTCATAAAAAAAAGAAAAGGAAGAAACATGTATTCATTTCGTGAAAAAAGGACGAAACATGTATTCATTTCATAGAAAAATAAAAGGAAGAAACTTGGAGACATGGAGAAAAGTTGATATGAATATTTTCACCTAGTGGCATGTGTACATGTCACTTTAATATATCACCTTAATGCACTCTGAATTTCAGGGATCGCGTTAAGAGGACCTCTGAGGACCTTTTTAGAGGTTTAACATTCGAGCCGAGGATTTTCGGCTCCCACCTTCGCAGGATCTGGAATGGCGAAAACTCCTCCCGGTTTTAAATTCCTCTCAGATATTTCACTAATTTCTCTGAAGTTCCATTAATTCCCCCCGGAGGTCCTCGAATTAAAAATGGCGCCGACGACTTAATTGGATATTTTCGCGACCCGGAGGAATATATTCCGCGAGGATAACAGAAATCTCCTCGCTAATTCGGGGACCGGACTAATCTCGTTTTGATCTCCCATAATCTGGCCTAATCTGGAGCAATCTAATGGCGGATTTCTCCTCCTGGACCAGTCGGGGTCGCTTTCAATTAGGCTCTACGTTTTGCTGATCTCGTGGAATCTTCCGGCCCTTCCGCTGCGTCTCCGCCGAATATCCGGTTGGCTTCTATCCGCGGAAAAATATTCCCTCGAATTAAGGTGATATTCTATATTTTCTATATATGTATTTTTTTATTCTATATATTTTATTGCATGTATCTTATTATATGGCACGCATGAACTTATCTAATTTTTATTTTTTTCTGCTGAAAGAAAATCATCTTGCCTCTTTCCACAGAATATGAACAGGAAAAACTGGGTTTTTCCTTTTTTAACATATCAATGGAATTTCATTTTTCATCAGAAATATGTATTCTTGGATCTAGTCGGGGACAAATACAAGAATTGTCATATAAAAAATGAAATTCCATTAACATTCGATTTTATGAGAGTCATATCATGCATGATCTTATCTAATTATTATTTTTTTCTGCTGAATGAAAATCATCCTGTTTCCTTCTAGAGAATATGAACAGGAAAAACCAGGTTTTTCCTTCTTCAACATGCCAATGGAATTTCATTTTTCAACAGAAATTTAAAAAATGGCGCCTGTCTCCAGGCTGTGGTTGACACTCCAGTGGCCCTGCAGTCATCGTACACCTTTAATATTAATCTGGGGAGTGCTCTTTTGAACGATATAATAATAGGCTTCGCTACAGGCGTCCCTCTCCGGCGATGTCGAGACGGCCATTCATCGTTGCCTCTTTCAATGAGGCCTCCACCTTAGCGCATCTTCGAATTCGCCAGTGAAATAAGGTCGGCTCTTTTTTATCTAGAAAGCATCTTCCAGTCGGCCTTAAATGGCCGAAGAACGGAAGTACAATGAAAGTGTTCTTTTCCGAAGACCCCTTGAACACGGAGCCATTTCGACATATGGTCGAAATTCGTCTGACCGTGCAGGCGAAATTGGACCAAACGTCGGGCTCATAGTATCCGAAGGGTTGATGCCGTCCATCACTTGTTCCTGAATCATCCTGCCGATTATAATAGGAAATGAAAGGCAATCGGTTCTCAATGGTGATCCATTTCACTCATTCCCAAGGGAATATCCTCGATATTAATTATGAAACTACCTAGGAGAAATAATTCATTCAGGCCGAAGAAAGGTAAGAAGAGTTCGGCATGGAATTCGGATGTCCCGGAAAGGTCGGGGATTTCAAGCGATTCCGAAGAAAAACACGAAGAGGGTGGAAGTACTCATCCCTCCGGAAGTTCGGGTTATTTAACCGGAAACTCATCCCGGTCACCATTAAGGGAGCACTCGATGAGCTCGCAATTGGTTTAATGCCGAATCGGCGCTTCCAGGATCCTCTTCTGGGATCAAACGATCCCGATCGCTCTTTCGGCATTTCCTCGAGTTTCCGTTCCCGATGCGTTTCCGGGGCTCCCGGTAATCCTCTCGAGGGATTTTCGAGTGTCAAATATTTGCGGCCGAGCTTGCGATCTCTTACGGGCTGGACCGGAAGCGGAAGGCGGGTGCGGGTAATCAAAAGTTCGGAGCCGCTATCATGGAGGTCCCGGCTCCCAGCCTCCCTCGGGAGGAAGTAAGGAGAATCGCTTTGTAATTGATAGAAGTGTTTGTTCCCGTTTGTAAATAGCATTCCATTAGTGCGAGCATGAACTGCGAACCCCAAGTTCTGGACTTGTCTTATCAGACTTTGGTTTGTCAGGACGATTAAAAATGTTGCTATCGAAGGGATGTGTCTTTGGAATTGAAGTTTCTCTGTATTTGGGCTTATCAAAGTGATGATAATAGGCCGATTAAAGAGGTCGCTATCGTAGGGATGTGTCTTTGGGATCGAAATTTCTCTGTATTTCGGCTTATCAAAGTGATGATAATAGGCCGATTAAAAATGTTGCTATCGAAGGGATGTGTCTTTGGGATCGAAATTTCTCTGTATTTCGGCTTATCAAAGTGATGATAATAGGCCGATTAAAGATGTTGCTATCGTAGGGATGTGTCTTTGGAATTGAAGTTTCTCTGTATTTGGGCTTATCAAAGTGATGATAATAGGCCGATTAAAGATGTTGCTATCGAAGGGATGTGTCTTTGGAACTGAAGTTTCTCTGTATTTCGGCTTATCAAAGTGATGATAAAAGGCTTAAGGTGATATGAAAGTGTGTACAGTGTACTCGTTTATAAAATTTGACACTTGCATTAAATAGGGTTTATTTTCCCTTGTCCACACAGATATCTGTATATTCAACTAAACAAATGCACTTCCAGTTCCTCCGCAATTATGTTTTCAATCTTTTTTAATCAACTAGCCGCACGTTGGTGCAACCGAACAGTTTACTCGATAAATTGGCAATTTGTCGAGTAAACTGTCCGGTTGTTCGACAATCAATTACCAATGCCCATTGTACCCGTTTCGCGGAATCTAATTGCTTTCATTTTTTAATCGAACGTATCGCTCTCTTTTTCGGGGCTTTTCGTTCCACGAGAGAGGTCGCATTTGTCCGGTGGAGGTTCGAACAGCTCCAAAAATGCCTACCTCGAAATAGGTGAAATTCCCGGAGCTTTGACGAAATTCCTGGCACGGATCTCTCGGAAAGGCAGGCATCACATTCGCGGAACGCGAAGCGAATGGCTACGTTGTTAATGGCGGAATTTCGAAAATCGTACATCCCGTACTAGTATCATTACGCTCAGTTATCGAGAGTTAAGGTGACGTGAAATACTCAATGTATATCCTGCAAGTGATGATTCACTTTCATATCCCTTTAATTTTACACAGCAACATTATTTTCCGCTCAATGTATATCATGCGATTTTTGGTTCACTTTCATATCACTTTAATTTTTTCTAGCAAGGAAATTTTCCGCTCAATGCATATCATGCGATTTTTTATTTACTTTCATATCCCTTTGATTTTGCACAGCAACATTATTTTCCGCTCAATGTATATCATGCGATTTTTGGTCTACTTTCATATCACTCTAATTTTTCCTACCAAGGAAATTTTCCGCTCAATGTATATCATGCGATTTTTTATTTACTTTCATATCCCTTAAATTTTGCCGAGCAACATTATTTTCCGCTCAATGTATATCAAGCGATTGTTGCTTTACTTTTCTATCATTTTAATTATGCCCAGCAAGGAAATACTTCGCTCAATGTATATCAAGCAATAGCTGATATACTTTCATATCCCTTAAATTTTGCACAGCAACATTACATTCCGCTCAATGTACCTGTATATCATGCGAGTGTTGATTTCCATCGCACGTCGTTCGGCGCGGCGGAATTTTTGATTAAGCGTCTCTGGGAGGAAAAATATTTTTAATTTCGCATAATTAACGCGCTCGCGGGGGGTTTGCAACGGAGGGCGTCGCTGGCGTCGCTGCCGTCGCGACGCCCGGTGGAAAGAGACGGAGCGACCCGCCAGGGCGGCGCTTTCTCCCGACTCGGGAAACTCTCGGCGAGCACTTTTGTTAATTAAATGCCGTTGTTCGGTTCAGCTTGGCTTTTTAATCAAGTTATTGTTTAAGCAGCGCTTACTAACAAAGGACCTCTCGAGCGAGTTAAGTTAAAGACCGGGCTGCGTAAACATATCGGACCCGCCCTAATTAGAGCCAATTTCCGCAGCGTTTCGGCCGCATTGTCTGCCGTTGTAGCGACCGGCGAATTCATTTCCGCACTTTTCTCTCCGCACCTCCACTTTAAGGCGATACGAAAGGCGCCGAGAAACATAATCGACCGCGATGAAAGGAAATTCTATGGGAGACATCAATGCCCTCCCGTCCTGCACAGGCGATGTCGTATCTGCAGGGGAGGCATTGTACGTGCCGAAATTAAGAAAGCGAGGCTTAAGTCCTGAAGAAATAAATTGTCCTTCTGGGAAGGTTTGGAAATGTCTGCGACTTGATGGTTTCCATGTGAGTCTAGAGCGACAGAAGGGCGCCCTTAAAGAAGAGACCTCTAAACATCGAAAAGGGAGACGAGCGTCTTGAAAGCGCTTAAGAATTAAATCGTCTTCTCGGAAGGTTTGGAAAAGTCTGCAAATTGATGGTCCAGAGCGACAGAAAGGCGCCCTTAAAGAAGGGACCTCTAAAGCATCGAAAACGGGAGACGAGCGCCTTGACCACGAGGGTTATATGGCGGTCCTCTATCCTTGGCGGAGAGGTTATGTTGGCGCGAAGCGTAGTCGAATTGATTTTTTAACCGATCTAAATCTAATTCTAAATTAAACCTACGGTATTGGATCGATCGAGGACCATCCAGTTTCGCAGACGAGGGCCCGATCACTCTTGTATCCGAGTG